CTTTTTTATTTTTTCCTTTTTTTTCCCCCTTTTTTCCCCCCCTTTTTAATTTTTTCCTTTTTAATTTTTTCCTCTTTTTTTCCTTTTCCCTTTTTATCTTTTCCCTTTTCTATTAGTTTCTTCTTTTTTCTTTTTTCCTTTCTTTTTATTTTTCCTTTTTTTATTTTGCATTTTTCATTTTTCATTTTTTCTTTTTTCTTTTTTATTCTTTTATTCTTTTTTCTTTTTATTTTTTCCTTTTTTTATTTTCCATTTTTAATTTTTCATTTTTCATTTTTTCTTTTTCCTTTTTTATTATTTTATTCTTTTTTCTTCTTATTTTTCCTTTTTTATTATTTTCCTTTTTAATTTTTCCTTTTTTATTATTTTCTTCTTTTTTCTTTTTCCTTTCTTTTTTTTCCTTTTTATTATTTTCCTCTTTTCCTTTCTTAATTTTTCCTTTCTTAATTTTTCCTTTCTTAATTTTTCCTTTCTTAATTTTTCCTTTTTCCTTTTTTATTATTTTCTTTTTTCTTTCTTTTTATTTTTTATTTTTCCCTTTTTTGGTGTTTTTTTTCCTTTTTTATTTTCCCCCTTTTTATTATTTTTTCCTTTTTTATTTTTTCCTTTTTTAATTAATTTTTTTCCTCTCTTTTCTCCACTCCCCACTTTCATCCCCTCCCCCTGCCTTTCATTTTAAAAATTTATTTATTCTTGCAGATGCACCACAAGCAGCACTGGGGAGCCCACGCTCTCTTAAAATCAGTGTTGTTCACAGCCTGGCTCATAGCACGGGGTGTGTGTGCGTGTGTGTAACAAAAGCTTGCCCACAGGCTTGTTTTTTTGGTGGGACTCATCAAAGTGTAGAGTGCAGCATCCACTGCTGAGGATGGGATGGGAATGGGGAGTGTCTTCTGGAGGGTGAGGGACCCCCTTACCAGAGCTGGGGCATGAGCTCCTCCTTTACTCGCTTCGCTTCCTGCAATGCCCCATTAGGATGAATTTCACTGTTAAGTCCTCATATTCCTCCAAACTACACTTTTAACACTCACCTTGAGGGCACCAGTGGACTGTGAAGGAAAACATCATTTGCCGCCTTCCTCTCCCCAGCTCTTCTCTCCCTTTTTCCGTCCCCAAGGACGGGGTTGCCTCCTTGGCACAGGGAAAAAGTGGTGGGGCCTCAGCTTTTCTGTAACCCCTCTACAATCAGAGGTACATTGGCAATTAGTTTGCGCTCGTGTCGGCAATTAGTGGAGTTTTACACCTTATGTTTCCTGGTGCCAGCTGTTTGCCTTTAGCCTTCCCCATCCCCAACAGCTAAGATAATTATAACCAACCCGGACCTCTTCCTTGCTTTTTCCTCCATTGCACACGTACCCAGCCGTTCCTCATCAAAGCAAAACACTCTCCATTTGGTTTTTTTTCAGAAGGGCCCGAGATGGTCTAATCTGGATTTTATTTCTTTTTTTTTTTTTTTTTTTTTCATGTACAACTGCCTGTGGGATAAATGCAGACAGACTTAGACACCTCATCCCCCAGTGCGTGCATAGCCGGCCACCACCTGGGAGCTGGGACCGGCCGCCACCCATCTCCAACCCCTCGGAGCCTTCGAGGAGAGCAGATCAGATGGCCTCGGCCACCCAGATGTCAAAATAACCCAAGACACACGTACGCTCTATTTTTTTTCCTTTTTTAATTAATTTTTTTCCTCTCTTTTCTCCACTCCCCACTTTCATCCCCTCCCCCTGCCTTTCATTTTAAAAATTTATTTATTCTTGCAGATGCACCACAAGCAGCACTGGGGAGCCCACGCTCTCTTAAAATCAGTGTTGTTCACAGCCTGGCTCATAGCACGGGGTGTGTGTGCGTGTGTGTAACAAAAGCTTGCCCACAGGCTTGTTTTTTTGGTGGGACTCATCAAAGTGTAGAGTGCAGCATCCACTGCTGAGGATGGGATGGGAATGGGGAGTGTCTTCTGGAGGGTGAGGGACCCCCTTACCAGAGCTGGGGCATGAGCTCCTCCTTTACTCGCTTCGCTTCCTGCAATGCCCCATTAGGATGAATTTCACTGTTAAGTCCTCATATTCCTCCAAACTACACTTTTAACACTCACCTTGAGGGCACCAGTGGACTGTGAAGGAAAACATCATTTGCCGCCTTCCTCTCCCCAGCTCTTCTCTCCCTTTTTCCGTCCCCAAGGACGGGGTTGCCTCCTTGGCACAGGGAAAAAGTGGTGGGGCCTCAGCTTTTCTGTAACCCCTCTACAATCAGAGGTACATTGGCAATTAGTTTGCGCTCGTGTCGGCAATTAGTGGAGTTTTACACCTTATGTTTCCTGGTGCCAGCTGTTTGCCTTTAGCCTTCCCCATCCCCAACAGCTAAGATAATTATAACCAACCCGGACCTCTTCCTTGCTTTTTCCTCCATTGCACACGTACCCAGCCGTTCCTCATCAAAGCAAAACACTCTCCGTTTGGTTTTTTTTCAGAAGGGCCCGAGATGGTCTAATCTGGATTTTCTTTCTTTTTTTTTTTTTTCATGTACAACTGCCTGTGGGATAAATGCAGACAGACTTAGACACCTCATCTCCCAGTGCGTGCATAGCCGGCCACCACCTGGGAGCTGGGACCGGCCGCCACCCATCTCCAACCCCTCGGAGCCTTCGAGGAGAGCAGATCAGATGGCCTCGGCCACCCAGATGTCAAAATAACCCAAGACACACGTACGCTCTATTATTTTTTTATTATTCTTTTGCGGATGAACAAGCAGAAGCGCGCCGCCAACCCGCCGGCGACGTGCTGAAAACGGAAAGGCTTTAGAGGAACGCACGGGTTTCTCTCCAGTGGGTTTTCTCCTTGGGATTTTCATCCGCATTGACGTGCCGGGCTGGGAAAGCACCTGCGGAGATGGCACAGCCTATCCGAGTCAGTAACCCATCAGCTCAGAGGGATTCGCCTGATATTTCTGACCTGCTGCCGCCTATCATGTCAAAAAACCCACCACTGAAGAAGAGCCTCTGATCGCATCAGCACAAGAGACCGTGACAGCCGAGCGGGGTAAACAAAGCCAGTCCACGCTCAGCCGAAGCCGTGACGGCCCCTCAAGTCAATATTACCCACACTCCAGAGCCCCTTCGCGACGCAGCCCTCCCCCCTCCCTCCCCCCAAAACGGGCTCACGGCAGGTTTTAAGGACACCCCTATGCTCAAAGTGGGGTTCGGGCTGCTCCCCCTCTGTCCCAACCCCAAATCCAGGGCTGGCACTGGTTTGAACGCAAGGTGAGGCGTGCCGGAGCAGAGAGGGGTTTCACGGTCATCCCAAAAGGAATAGCGGGCATCCCGCAGCGCTTCTTGCTCTCCCCGTGCTGGAGGCGGAACGGAGACAAAGGGCGTATAAGTCACGGTTGAGAAATTGGAAATATATTAACCGGGACCTAACAGAGCAGCTCCCCCCAAACCCCTGGGATTGTAAAATCCAGCGGGAACTGGCCCAAAGGTAATTTCCTAAACGTGCAATGGAAAAGTCAAAGGGACCCTGACGGGAGATGCCGCGGTGCTCCCAGGCGGCCTCTCTCCGGCAGAATACATCCGTCAACGCTTAGCCACGGCACGGCAGGCGCCTTTCAAACCTGTCCTGGGGTCCGAATTCAATATATCAACTGCAGAGGGGGTTTGGGCCACCTTAATTTTAAGGGGAATGAGGGAGCCG